CCCATTCACAGCTGGTTGGACTGGGACGAATAGTCACAGTACTTTGTCCATGTTTACTGCACGTTGCTGTACCCGCAACTTGGTGTTTGCATGTTTACTGTATTCAAACCACAGGGGTTCGAATCACTGTTTGGACAATAATGGGTGAAGAAATGTATTTTTTAGAAACTTATCCCGCTACACTCATTACATAAAATACACAAGGGGTGACACTCGCGATGCTAAAAGCCGGATCGAAAACCGGACAGCCCAACTATTTTAACGTGCGTTCAATCAAACCTTACGTTTTTCGCAAAACAATGTGTTGAGCTTGTAGATTATTCTTTTGGCCTTCTGCTCATCGTATTCACTTTGTCTTAACTGCATTTCATATTTGACCACTGACCCTTGCATTAGCACTACCCTCCGTTTTGAACAAACGTCTGGCCGCCCTTCGGTAAACATCGACACTGTCCGAAAATCTTGGAATGACTCGGAACACAAAACGGCTCTCATTGGTCAATTTGCATGTGTGCGATTATTGCGGAATATTATTTTCACAGTTGATATGTTTGGAAAACTTGAACATGGTTTTAGAAATTCTTTCATGGTGAGTAAAATTATTTCAGGTATTAAATGCAATAAAATAGTGCACATAGTGCATACAGCATGAAAATCTAACAGTTTTCTAAAAATAACAAGCATGCAAAGCAGAATTATAAATATTTAACTTCTGTAAATTCATGGATTGTATTTAGATTATAAATGTCATATGATAGGTGAACAACATTTTCAGTTATATCCAATGACTTCCAATTATCAATTCATTGTGATTGTTGATTAAATATTCAATATTCCATACAGTTTAAACAGTATAATACAACACACACACAAAAGTTCACATGTTGATACTTTTATTCAATAATACATTTCACCAAAACAGATAATTCAAAATTGTCCAGGTATATTAACTTTTGAAATATGATGATAATAAACAAATACCTAATGCTACCACATACCTATCACATCATAACAATCTCTTGAAAAAGATAATATCCTATGAAAATTGACTTTAAGAATAATTAAATGCTGACACTTTCATTTTGGCAATGTATGATCATTTAAATTTTCCCTTGTATAGCACAATTTCTAAAATTTGAAAAACTCTTATAGAAATACTTGTGACTCAAGTTAAGTCAGTGACCTCAAGCATTATCAACAATGAAACCATTAAATATCAATTCTAAATCTCATCTAGCGAGTCGGTCATATATGAATTAAATTTCAACTTCTTAATCATTCCTGTATTTCCTTACCCCATTAGTGACACGTGCACATACCTGACTGTTGGTGGATCTGGAAGCAAAAAAAAATATTCTGAGCTTTATCCAATCTTAAAAATACTTTTGTTGGTACTAATATAAGAAACTACTGCCCTGCCTTCTAACCCCTTACCAGGGAATGATGGTGGATATCAAGATATCTTTTCATATATCAAATAGTTTTCCTTACCCAGTTATATTTGTTCCTGTTTGTTCTTGGATAAACTCTATGGATGGTCTCATAATTAATAAAACAATCAAATACATTTTTTGTAATCTATAAATGCATTTCATTGTCTATAATGATAGGTTACACAATTACCATATCAAAACTGAATCTTTACTTACATATTTATTTCCCATTTCTCCATAACTCTTAATTTGTCATGAATATTTCATAACTCCAACAGTTCTTTAAAATATTGCTAGTGTTGTTGTTACATGAGCTGACAAATGATGGTGGAAAAAGAGTAGAGTTTATCCACACAAAAAAATTGCATACGTGATTGCAGACAGTTGTGAAATATTATAAATTCCTTAAAGGTCACATGCAACCAAAAAATCAAACATAATTAAAACACAATTATCACTTCTTCATGACATATAATATGCATTGCTGATTATGAAAAAACAAATAAACAAAATTATAAGCGTATAATCGCAAATAAAAAGTGCAATATTTTGTACTTGGGTTTACCTCCCTCGAAACGAAGCAGCCGGGATACCTAACCCAGTCAGAGCGGGTGGGTGTGTACTCAAGTGTAACGGCTGGTTCATTAGCAGATGCCGCCTTCACGGCTCATTGTGTGTGTATATATAGAGATGTTGGGTTTTGTAAATACATGCTCATTTTTTGTGTATAACATTTTGCAATCAACAGACATCATAACATGTCATGTGTTCAAGTATCACACCTGCCTGTCTGTGTAATTAGATAATGTGACAGAGACCGAACTCGGGCCATAAATCAATGCGTTTTGTTTATGGTGTATAGCCTGATTGGTGTTAAGTTCAAATTGCATGTGGTCAGTGATCGCAGTTGTGTATTGAATATTGTCATTAGCAGACAGGCAGGCAGACACACAGGTGTCAATAAAACAAGACATTGAGTTTTGTCTGTGACAGCGACATATCTATATCACAGTTAGAAATTGTGTCAACGCTAAATAATGACATTACTTTTAAGTATCGAACTGAGAAAGTGACTCGGTAAGAAGAGCGTGTGGTGAAATAGACAAATGAAATTATATAAACAGTTTATTTACTGTCATAACATATAAAAGCTCGCCTGTTAGATATCAACAAAACATTATGAAAATAGCTCACACCAAAGCCTTCACCGAGTATTCACCAGACAGCCCGCTTCCAAGTTGCACGAACCTATTTCACTGCGCACGTGCTATGAGCGCAGCCCAGCTGTTGAAACCCGTATTCCCCAGAAAAGTCTGGGGAAAATTAGTGAAACGTTTGAACTCCGATTTCGCGCGTTTTTTTTCATCGCGTTATTTTTCAACTTTATAAGTTTCATTTGCATTTTTGACGCTTTGTTTCGGTAAGTCCATACCGAAAGGTATCAGAATCTGCAAAGTTGTGTTTTACGTTGCATGTGACCTTTAAGGTGAAACAAATTTATCTAAATTTCTGGAACACTTTCACAAACATAAAATTAAACTACATTTATATTAAAACCATTCACAATCAGATGTAGTTTACAGTTAATTCACATACAAAATCAATTTGTTGGAGTAACCTCCGGACATTGATGTCTTTTTTATATGAAAGTTTTGTGTTTACACAAATATTTGGGTTACCTCTGTCATTGTGTGTGGCTGATGTTATGAAATCCTTATGCAATGCCAACTATGTCATTGTGAAATTTTATACACTTTAAATATTATACATTCATACTTCGTACCCCCATTTCTGACTTTAGGATTTTTTGGTACTATGTTATGAAAACATGATGTGTGAAACAAGTTCAAAGACACCACTTTCAAGTTCTCCTAAAGACTGTCACTTGCACCTGGCAATCTCACTGGTACTGTCTTGTGTTGACTTTGACCTACATTCTAAAGTTGCTATTTCAAACAAAATTCTTGTTTATGGAAGATTAAACGTTGTGAATTACATATTTACGACTAAAATATATTTTTCTGTTGTTATTCAAACTCAAGGATGACAATTAACTGTCAATGAAAATGTGCACTTGTTTCATATTCACGTCTGGTAACTGTCGATAAGTGGTGCTGAGGTCTTTGCTTAATTACGTTGATATTTTCTTCTGCCGCTATTACAGGTGATGCGGCCTTATATAAGCAGACACTTCGTTTCGTGTTTAAATGATGCATATTTCTCTGGTAATAAAAAAAATATCATATTAGTGTCCGTGTCATACTATGTTTACGACACTTGTGCCTAAATGTCGGTATTTCGGCACTTGTGTCGTAAACATAGTGTGACATGTACACTCGTATAGTGCCATCTATCAATTATCACCAGACTTTCTTTTGAACTTCATGGAATATTTGGTAGTGAAAGTGATGTCATTAAACTGGAATTACTTTAAACTTCAGTAAAGTAGTTTGAGTCACTGTTGTGGCTTCCAAGAAAAGGTGAAAATGGAGTGGAATTGTTTTGCTTGCAGGCATCAATCTACCCCTGTCAGGACATTTTTTTTACATGAGCTTTTGATGAGAGATTAATGTTAATTTTTGTGGAGAGGCAATGTCACCGTTATGTACAAAGTATAGATGACTAATAATTTGTGAAAAATCAAACAAACGTCTCTTCAATCGATCTACGTAGTCCTGGCAAAAATATGTCTAAAAATAACCAATTTCTTCACAGCGCAACAGCTGATTGGCTGATGATAAGTAAGCAGCCAATCGGAAGCAAGCTTTCTGTCATGTTATTGTTATAATATAGCAGTCGACATGTCGCCCAGAAAGATACTAAAGCTGTCAAGTTCACAAAAAAACATTAACTTCTGTGTTTGGTCAAGGTGACACAAAGATACAACTGACACAAGTGAATGCTCTGCCCAGGAAGCGGTATATACTGTCAGTAAACACAAAGTATCAGTCACGTTGGCTGAATACTCATCGGTCATGGCTGACTTTACGACATGAAGGTGATTTCATGTTTTGTAAACTATGTACTGAAAATAGTAAAGAAAATGGTATGACACAAGATACTAAATGCAGAAATTTTCAAAATGCAACTTTGACCAGACATCCTAATCATAATGATCATAAACTGTCCGTTCCAGCTCCAAAACTTTGTGATGATTTGCAGGTCGCAACTGCATGTATTATGAAAAACAAGACAAAGCAGCTGTCTCCGTGATGAAATCTGTTCATTGGTTAGCTTGTGAAAACATCCCACTGACAAAGTTTAAAAGTTTTGTTAACTTTTTACATGAATTTGAAACCGAAGAGACTGAAACAGTATACAGTAACAATAAACCAGTTTGAATAATATTTGTGGCATTAATTTTTATTAGGGACTCATTAAAGTTCTGAGGGACTAATTGTTTTCAGAATGGACTCATAGATATTCAGCTCAGTGAGTCCCGGGACTCAGACAGTTGAATTTATAGATTTTCACTGTGCTTGCAATGGAAACTCCTTCCTGGTTTAGATCTTCAATATACATGGCAATTAGTTGGCAGTGGTGGTAATATAAAGCTTTATGTTACAGGAAGCTGTAAATGGACAAGTGACTACCCACAGAAATGAAGATGACAGGACAGAAATAGCAAAGACGAAATCAATGGAAGCTGTCATGATAGAAGTTGAGGACAGCAAGTGGAAGGAGAAAGTGGAAAGCCAGGCAGATGTTTGTGCTTCTGAGGATAACAGGAAACTGGAAGTACTGGGGCATGAACCAGTGGGAGAAAATGATGAAAATCAAAAAGAATCTGACGAAAAATGGTCTGAGGAGGAAATCCAGATATTCTTTGGGAAACAACAAAATTCCAAATGGGAGGCCCAAAATGCACAAAAGGCCAGTAATGACGTCATTTTCTTTCAGGTTAATTTACAGCCATCCACTCTTTTTAGCTCCCCTTATATTCACAAAACGAAGCTGCTTGAGAATTCTATAAAATTCTGTGGGTCTGAACATGGTAACTCCTCTAGACCTCTGTCTAAATATAGCTCAAATCTAAATATAGCACACCACTGACCTTTTCTGAATCTAAAGGTACATAGTCTGTCTCACAGTCCCTGAACCACATTATTTTCCCTACTGCCAAGCCTTGTCTGCAGTGCTAAAGCTCTAAATAGAGCAAGTCTAGATTTCCTCAGGTTCAGGAATCTCTGGTCTCCCTGGTTTATATGGGTTTGTTTGTTCCTATCTAAGAAACTGCGTAAGTCTGTGTATATCAGTTAAGACACTGTTGCACAAGGTATAGTACTACCTCATAACACTATTCATCTTACCTTCATGTAAAATACTTTCATTTCATCGGTCAATGACACTTTAACAAGTTTCCGTGTCACCCCTCCTAGGAGGGTGACAACTGGAAAAAAAATTACACGCTGCCACGGAAACTGCCAAGCTCTCCACCGAGACGCAGTAGCGCTAACAATCGTATGACGTCATACTATGACACATGCCGTGCCCAGAGTTTGAAAACCGTTCGATCAGCTGTTTTTGTGTCTTTGTACAGATTTATTTTACCAACTTTCACAGCTTTATTTAAGCTATTTTACAATTAACCATTTTTTATAGCAGTTTTAACCTTGTCAAGAATATGCTTCACTGATTTTAAAAATCCAGTCGAGAGGCAGATGCCATTTTGTTGACATGGCATATAGTCGGTAGTAGCGATCATTAACATAGAATAAAATGATATTTTGTACTTTTAACATGGTGGTAAGATAAATACGTTGTATGCTTCACCCTCGGGTAATACGGTCTGATGTACACCTTTTTGTAGCAGTGTCATCCCTCACCTACCGGCTCGGGTGACACTCCTACAAAGAGGCGTACATCAGACCGTATTACCGGCTCGGGTGACACTTCTACAAAGAGGCGTACATCAGACCGTATTACCCTTGAGAGGAGCATACAACTTATAATATACACCCATATCCACTCTGTATTGTTCACTTGAAGAAGGAGTAACAATTAACTTTCAAACATCGTGAAGTCACCCAAAACTAATATTCATAGTATGAAACAGTAGTCCTCTTCACTAGGAACTACACACAACTGGTTGCCAAAATAATAATACTGGCAGTCAGCATCCAGCATCATGCTCTGGACAGAAGGCAGTGATGGAATGATTTGATCCTCGCTTGGACTTATTGAAAGATAGAGAACCCCCTGGCCTGGTAGCCAGGTGTGGGACAGCTGCAAGATAAACTATTCCTGTCTGCCAGTATGGCCATATAGCCAGCCAGAGGAACCCCACCTTCTCATCTTGCACACATGCACATGCACACGCACACACACACACCAGCAAGTTGAAAACCTGTCAGCTATACATCTTTAAGAACTGCTGAAAGCACTGTCACAGCAGGGGCAGTGGGGTAGCCTAGTGGTTAAGGCGTACGTTCGTCACGCCGAAGACCTGGGTTCGATTCTTCACATGGGTTCAATGTGTGAAGCCCATTTCTGGTGTCCCCGCCAGGATATTGTTGGAATATTGCTCAAAGTGGCGTAAAAGGAAACTCACTCACTGTCACACCACAGTAGCCAAAACTGTCATAAGAAATCCCAGTATCCAGTCAACCACATATGGATAAGTGTAGAGACAAGCTGTCCTATTTTAAGTGGATTGTCATGGTCACCATATGTTAACCGCATGGACACAGACAAGAGCCAAGCCTGTGACTGTTACTAGACAGTCAGATTGATTGTGGTTTCTCACGAGCACATGAATCCACCAACATACTGTCCAGAACAGAGGTTACACAGAGGAGAATCAACTCCAAGCTGAAGTTTTGGGGATAGGTAAAACAAACTTATAGGGCCTAACTAATATCCATTGTGAGATTCTGACCCACATATGTTCTTGTTGGAGAAGATAGAACACCTATCAGTTTATGCCATGTTACAGGCAAAGAAGAATACATTTTCTTTGCTGGAACTATGGACCAGGCTCCTCCATCCATCACAAAACACCATATCTTTATATCCTAGCCATGCTTATAAGAGTATTGATCATGCCACGGATAATTTATCAAGTCTTGACACAATGGGTGTCACCTCTTACCGTTGCAGAAAAAGACACTGTACCAGAGATGTTTCTGTCCATTAACTGAATCACAAGTTTGGGGCAGGCAATGTTCTTACTAGTCCTATCCCCAATCACCAGAATGACCTAATTTTTAAACTTATCCTATCTCACGGTATGCACCTCTCCTCTTCTTCTACGACCATGTGTGGAAACTTGCTGTAGGCCAAGTTGAATCAAATCTTACTGGCCTCTGACCCGCCCTGACCTCTGCCCCCACTCCGACATCAGCACCTGTCAATCATCTCCGCAAGCGTGGAGCTCGCTCAGATGATCATGTGACTACCTGTGCCTGTCATTCTCTTTCTTGTCGCTACACCGAGTGGACGTGTGTTGTTCTCTCAGTTAGACATTATTTGATTGTCAAGATGGGAAATAAATGGAATCAAAGTTCTTTTAAAAAACGCAAATACTGTGATCAGTGCAACAACATTTCCGCTGCTGATCCACATGCTTTGTGTGTGGATTGTATAGGCTGTTGTAGTTGGTCACATCGGTGTTCTGTTTGTTCACGCTTCAATGATGATGTTTTTTCTGAATATCGACGAGTTGCATCTAGACGTAGCTTTTTTAGAGGTGGCCTCAAGACTCCTACTTGAGCGAGTATCTCCGTCGTCTCTTTCGTCATCAAACGTCTAGTCCCGTCTCCGTTCAAGTTTTATCTGCTCCGAGAGTGGTACCTAGTGCTAACAACCTCTGTAGCACAGTCTCGGCCTTTTACCTTGGCAGGTGGTTGTTTCTAGTGCGCCGCTTTGGTTGAGTGCTCCACCCCCCTCTGCTATTGGTGGGTTCGATTGGTGAAAGCGTTCACTCTCATGTGGCGAGTGCAGTCAGTTCGGCGCTTTCAACCACAGGGATCAGTTCGGCGCTTCAACCTATGCGCCGCTTGCTTCCAATGCGGCGTTTTGTTCCAGTTCAGCGCTCTCGTATCTTTCTGTGGTGACATCAGCCATGACGGTAGCATCCAGTGCGGCGCATTCAACACCTTTCCCGTACCTTGCAGGCGCGTTCGATTGGATCAAAACTTCAGCCCAGAGTGCCTTTTCGATTAGATCAACGCTTCAGACCAGTGTTCCGTTTTCGATTGGAACAACGATTCAACTTAGTGAACTGTTGTTTGGTTGGAACACCTTTCAGTCCAGTACACCTTTACTGTATGGTACGACGTTTAAGACGAATGCACCGGTCCTGATTGACTCAGCGTTTTAGAACCTGATCACTTGACACAACTGGATCACAGTACCGAACCAGATCACCTAATCGATCCTGATTGCCGCTCCAACAGTATTCGCCGATCCGACAGTGTTCGCTGGACTGTCAGCTTTCGCCGAATCATCTGGTTCCCTCGATGCGCATACTGTCATCATGGTTTGTTTACTAGTTTACACTACGGTACCTACAGTGACTTTGTCTACTGCAGTTCTACTTCAACACTTTTTCCAACTTCGGCGTTGATACCTCATTTCTACAGTTTTTACCGTCCAGAGCGCCGCTCTCTTATTTATCAAGGGGCAGTGGGGTAGCCTAGTGGTTAAAGCGTTGGCTCGTCACGCCGAAGACCCGGGTTCGAATCCCCACATGGGTACAATGTGTGAGGCCCATTTCTTGTGTCCCCCGCCGTGGTGTTGCTAAAGGTGGCGTGGAGCCGGAGTCACTCACTCCTATGTATCAACGCTTCTATCCAGTGCGACACTTTCTTAGGTATCAACGCTTCCATCCAGAGTGCAGCTTTACTCCAGTGCGCCGCTCTTTTCTGTATCAACGCTTTCATCCAGTACGGCGCTTCCAGTTAGTGCATCGTTTCGGTTGGTTGCACAGAGGTAGTAGTTATGTCAGTAGTGCAGGCGTCTACATTACGGCGGTGATTGATGATCTCGGATTTTTAAGATTCCTTCGTCATCTACCATCCGATCTTCACCTTTCATGAATGATTCATTTCACCGAATCTATCTACCCTTCGACGTAGATATCAGCTCTACAACCACCCGGTTTGACATATTTGTCGAGAGACTTGACGATGATGTGAAAGAAAGGGTGCTGAGGCTTGCGAAACAGACCACGATTACACCCAGTGATACATGTACACCACACAGCTGCTATGAGTAGTTTGTATATAGTAACAAGACTCAGTGAAGCGTCGTACAATATTCCTGCTAGCGTCACTTTACCCAGATTTTATGGGTTGGGACTCGCCTGGTTGATTGACATCCGTGTTGTCCGGGTTTTTGTCGTTATTGCATTGTCGGTAGCATTGGAAATGGTGGACTACTGTTTGTTTACCGGAGACTTTTGATGATACATCGATTAGGAAGTACCTGACAGACTTGTCTTGGTCCCACCTATCCCAGCCTTTAATTGCCAGTGATGATGAACGGTGCCATTCTCGGTAGGAGTGATTATGTTGAGTTTGTCAGTCAGCCGGGAGATACAGTTTACCAAGGGTGCCAGACGGAATCGCCGAGACGCTTTCACTTTGGCTGGGTTTACTCGTTTTTTTAGCTGAAGGCCTCAGTTCAATTGTCACTGCAGCTATGTCCGGACTGTCCATAGGCATCGATGTGACTACCTTCGCCTCTTTATGGAACGTGTCTGGAGTCATTGGTCTTTTTTACCTCTGCCATTCCATCAACTTTACCAATGTTCCGGTAGACTGACGATCCCATGCATCGTATCTACTAACTTTCTCACTCCATCTGGCGGACCAACACTTTATTTGGCGAGCTATACGTTCCTACAATCACTGTTTATATGGCCTTCATCACTCTGTGTACAATGTGTATGTTCCTGA